CCCTCCCCGGTGTCCCCCCCACCATGGTGACATCGCGGGACCCCACCCAAGGACCCCCCCGACGTCACCCGTCACGGCCCCCCAGGGTGTGAGGATTGTCCCCAACGACGTCCCCAACAACGTCCCCAACGTCTCGCCTCGGACCATGTGGCCCCACGGTGGTGGCACCCGTGGGGACGTGACCTGCGGTGGCATCGGCCACGGTGGCTTTGGACATGGTGTCACCTCCCATGGTGGCATCTCCCATGGTGTCACCTCCCATGGTGACATCTTCTATGGTGACATTTCCCATGGTGGCACCTCCCATGGTGACATCTTCTATGGTGGCATCTCCCACAGTGACATTTCCCATGGTGACATTTCCCATGGTGACATTTCCCATGGTGGCACCTCCCATGGTGACATCTTCTATGGTGGCATCTCCCACAGTGACATTTCCCATGGTGGCACCTCCCATGGTGACACCTTCTATGGTGGCATCTCCCATGGTGGCACCTCCCATGGTGACATCTTCTATGGTGCCATTTCCCATGGTGGCATTTCCCATGGTGACATCTCCCCCAGCGATGACATGTCCTCCAGTGGTGACATCTCCTATGGTGGTGGTGGCATCTCCCATGACAACGCCACGTCTGGTGACATCTCCCACAGCCGTGATGTCACCCTAACCAGTGACATCTCCAATGATGGTGACTCCTACAGTGGTGGCATCTGCCACGGTGACATCTCCCACGGTGACATCTCCAATGGTGGTGCCACCTCCTATGGTGACATCTCCCATGGTGGCATCTCCCATGACATCAACTCCCATGATGGTGACACCTCCCATGGTGGAACCTCCAACGGTGGTGACATCTCTCATGGTGACATCTCCCATGGTGGCATCTCCCATGACATTGACTCCCATGATGGTGGCATCTCCCATGGTGGCATCTCCCACGGTGACATCTCCCATGGCACCAACTCCCACAGTGGTGGCACCTCCCATGGTGGCGACACCTCCCATGGTGGCATCTCCCATGACGTCAACTCCCATGATGGTGGCATCTCCCATGGTGACACCTCCTGTGATGTCAACTCCCACGGTGGTGGCATCTCCCACGGTGACATCTCCCATGGTGGCATTTCCCATGACGCCAACTCCCATGATGGTGGCATCTCCCATGGTGGCATCTCCCATGACGTCAACTCCCATGATGGTGGCATCTCCCATGGTGACACCTCCTGTGATGTCAACTCCCACGGTGGTGGCATCTCCCACGGTGACATCTCCCATGGTGGCATTTCCCATGACGCCAACTCCCATGATGGTGGCATCTCCCATGGTGGCATCTCCCATGGTGGCATCTCCCATGACGTCAACTCCCATGACGGTGACATCTCCCATGGTGGCATCTCCCATGACGTCGACTCCTGCAGTGGTGGCACCTCCAACGGTGGTGACATCTCCCATGGTGCCACCTCCCATGGTACCACCTCCCACGTTGGTGGCACCTCCGCCACCTTCCTCCTCCGCCTGTCCCACCACCCCCGGTGGCCTCCCCACCACCTCTTCCTCCTCCTCCTCCTCCTCCTCCTCCACATTCCCACCACCCTTGGGGCCACCTTCAAGGTCGGGGTGATGGGTCCATGGACCTGTGACACCATCTTGGCCCGAGCGTTCCCGGAGGTGGCCTCTCGCTTGGCCGTCACCCGCCTCAATCGTCACCCGACGTTGTCCCAAAGCTACTGGTGGGATGCCGTCATCTTACCGGAATCGTGTCGGACCCCCCAAGGGGTGACGGGTCTTCTCACCGTTGAACGTTCTTCCACCGCTTTGGTGGGACCACTCAACCCGGCCACTTGTGGAGCTGCTGGGCTACTAACGGCCGCTTGGAACAAGCCCTTGGTGGCCTGGACGTGTTTAGGTGACATCGAAGGTTTGGTGACATTGGTCAACCCCATGCCGGAACCTTCGGAGGTTCTTCACGATGTTCTGCGGTATTTTCGGTGGGCGCACGTGGCCGTCATCTCCTCGCCAGAAGATCTCTGGAGGGAGGTTGGGTTGGGTTTGGCCCAAGAGTTGAGGACCTTGGGGTTGCCCGTCACCGTTGTCACCACGGCGGGGACACGGGAGGAGGAAGCGGGTGAAGCTCTGAGGAAGGTGAAGAAGGCAGATGGTGTCCGAGGTAATGGGGTGGAGATGGTGGAGATGGTGGAGGTGGTGGAGATGATGGAGGTGGTGGACATGGTGGCCATGGATGGATGGAGATGGTGGAGGTGGTGGAGGTGGTGGACATGGTGGACATGGATGGATGGAGATGGTAGAGATAGAGATGGTGGACATGGTTGGATGGAGATGGTGGCCATGGATGGACGGAGATGGTGGAGATGGTGGAGGTGGTGGAGGTGGTGGAGATGGTGGAGATGGATGGGCGAAGATGGTGGCCATGGATGGATGGAGATGGTGGAGGTGGTGGAGATGGTGGAGATGATGGAGGTGGTGGAGGTGGTGGACGTGGTGGCCATGGATGAATGGAGATGGTGGAGGTGGTGGAGGTGGTGGAGGTGGTGGACATGGATGGATGGAGATGGTAGAGATAGAGATGGTGGACATGGTTGGATGGAGATGGTGGCCATGGATGGATGGAGGTGGTGGAGATGGTGGAGGTGGTGGAGATGGTGGAGATGGTGGAGATGGATGGATGGAGATGGTGGAGATGGTGGAGGTGGTGGAGATGGTGGAGATGGATGGATGGAGATGGTGGAGATGGTGGAGATGGAGGGATGGAGATGGTGGAGATGGTGGAGATGGAGGGATGGAGATGGTGGAGATGGTGGAGATGGAGGGATGGAGATGGTGGAGATGGTGGAGATGGAGGGATGGAGATGGTGGAGATGGTGGAGATGGAGGGATGGAGATGGTGGAGATGGTGGAGGTGGTGGAGGTGGTGGCCATGGATGGATGGAGATGTTGGCCATGGATGGATGGAGGTGGTGGAGATGGTGAAGATGGATGGAGATGACGGATGTGGATGGAGATGATGGCCACAGATGGACGTGGTGGGCACGGATGGACAAATGAAGGACGGAGCAGAAGACCCAGGAAGGACAAAGCCCCCACACCCACCAGCTGACCCCAGGTGGTGGTGGCCATTGGGTTGTCCCCCCCATGCCTCAGTTGTCCCCTCCTGTCCCCCGCAGTGGTGGTGATGTGTATGCACTCGGTTCTTCTGGGCGGCGAGGAGCAACGTGTCCTCCTGGAGAAGGCCGAGGACATGGGCATGACCGACGGGACCTACGTCTTCGTCCCCTACGACACCTTGACCTTCCCTCTGCCCTACCGGCGTGTCACCTACCCCGTCCTGGCCACCAACACCAAGCTGCGCCTGGCCTACGACGCCGTCCTCACCATCACCATGGACTCGGACAACGAGACCTTCCGGGAGGTCCTCCAACGGGCCAAGGAGAGCTTTGAGGTCCCTGCCCACATCGATCCTGCACAGGTGGGGTTGGAGGCATCTCCATGGGGTTTGGAGGCATCTCCATGGGGGTTGAGGGCATCTCCATGGAGGTTGGAGGCATCTCCATGGGGTTGGAAGACCTTCATGGGGGTTGAGGGTATCTCCATGGGGTTTGGAGGCATCTCCAGAGGGTTGGAGGCAAATCCAGAGGGTTTGGACGCATCTCCACGGGGTTGGAAGAACCTCTGTGGGGGCTGAGGGCCTCTCCATGGGGGTTGGAGGCATCTCCATGGGGTTGGAAGACCTTCATGGGGGTTGAGGGTATCTCCATGGGGTTTGGAGGCATCTCAATCCAGAGGGTTTGGACGCATCTCCACGGGGTTGGAAGAACCTCTGTGGGGGCTGAGGGCCTCTCCATGGGGGTTGGAGGCATCTCCATGGGGTTGGAAGACCTTCATGGGGGTTGAGGGTATCTCCATGGGGTTTGGAGGCATCTCCAGAGGGTTGGAGGCAAATCCAGAGGGTTTGGACGCATCTCCACGGGGTTGGAAGAACCTCTGTGGGGGCTGAGGGCCTCTCCATGGGGGTTGGAGGCATCTCCATGGGGGTTGAGGGCCTCTCCATGGGGGTGGGGGGTTGAGGGCATCTCCATGGGGTTTGGAGGCATCTCCGTGGGGCTGGAGGCATCTCCAGAGGGCTTGGAGGCATCTCCATGGGGTTGGAGGCATCTCCATGGGGTTGGAAGAACCTTCATGGGGATTGAGGGTATCTCCATGGGGTTGGAAGAACCTTCATGGGGGTTGAGGGCATCTCCATGGGGGCTGAGGGCATCTCCATGGGGCTTGGAGGCGGGGTTGGAGGCATCTCCAGAGGGCTTGGAGGTATCTCCATGGGGTTTGGAGGCATCTCCATGGGTTTGGAGGCATCTCAAGAGGGGTTGGGTGGACATGACCAGGGTGGAGATGACCATGGTGGAGACAACCATGGTGGAGATGACCATGGCCAACATTGGCCGGAGATGACCACGGCCACCACTCCTACGGTTGCCACCACGTGTCCCCTGGACCTCCTGGTGTCCCCTGGCCACCCCGTGACCATGTCTTCTCCTCCCCCAGGTCCACCCCATCTTCGCCACCATCTACAACTCCATCTTCTTCTGAGGCCGTGGAGGCCTCTCGCCGGAGTGGCCGGTGGGTGACGGGGACCACGGTGGCCAACCACGCCCGTGACTTCCACCTCCAGGGCTTCTGCCAGAGCTTCGAGGTCACCGAGGACGGTGACGTCACCGTCCCCTACGTGGTGTTGGACACCGATGGCAAAGGCGACCGGTTGTGGCCAGTTTACGGACTGGAACCGGGGACCAAGGGACTGGGCTACCGTGGTCACAGCG